ACCGAAATTATAAAGCAATTATGGAGGATTAAGATTGCAAGCTTTTCCTACTATATTAAATGACATTGACTAAACCAACTTAGTATAAACAAAATGTATGTGACGATAATATTAAAACATTCAAAAAGAACAAAAGTGAAGTTTCAAGAAATTATAATCCTTGAAAATTGTTAAAATTAAATAACTCATATTTAAACTCCAAAGGATCATTACTAATTGACTTAAAAGAAAAAAATATTTAGAAATATCAAAATACAATAGATTCTTAATGAGAAAGTGACAGTTGTACATTTAAAGAAGAGGGAAAAGTTCTCACAAAATACTAACAAATTTAAATGTCACACGACCAGTTAGAAAAAAGCATAAACCTATAATGAAAACGATATCAATACAAGTAAGAAAATCTAAAAGTTAATTAACTCAAAAGTTTAACTTCAACAAAAGATAGACCAAAAATAAAATAATAATATCACATAAAGGTACGATACACAAACAATCCGGAAAAATTGATTTCTGAAGATACATATATCGAAATATCTAAAGCTTAGTATTTGACAAATTCAAGTATTTCAAATGCACATATTCATATTTTATTATACAATTACCACTTATCAAATAGCCTCACATATTATATTTATTACATTTTGTATGTAGTACAAATTTTTTTATTTGAATAACTTTTATTAATTTTATATATATAAACTGGCGAATATAAGAAAGGGGATCAGAATAAAAATATATTACAGGGTTTTCCACAAGAAAATGGAAAAGCCCCAATCAAAAAAAAAGAAATGTTAATCATAAAAGGAAAATGTTCTATATAAAAAAAAGAAAAGTGTCAAACAAAAAAGATAAGACTCGATCAAAAATAAAAAAAGTGTCTATAATTAAATGGGAAAGGTCCAATCAAAAAAGAAAATTCCCAGGAGAAAAAAGGTTCCAATCAAAAAGGAAGATTTCCAAGAAAATAATTATTTTTTATATTTAATTTTGTGTTGTCATTTTTATAACCCGGAAATATTATTTTTCTTAAATTTTTTTAAAATTATTTTTCTTAATATTTTATTTTTCTTCTAATTGTTATTTTTTTTATTTAATTTAACATTATTAAGGGATTAGTTGTTTTAATGATTGGTTTATTTGTTTTACACATAATTTATTTTTTTAAAAAAAATATACAAACCCTTATTTTTTAAATCTTTTTTATAAAATTGTATTTTCGCAAAGCCCGGCTTAATAATCTTTGGATAAGATACCCGATCCGTTAAAATTTTATGAAAAGTCCTTCGCCCGTTAATCATTTTTAATATCTATATATAATTTTTTCTCAGTGGGAATTAAGGCTCCTATAGGTCTCTATTTCTTTTTACAACCGTTTTATAAATTAATCGTGTTTGATATCTGTTAATTTATTGTGAATCAACGGATCGACCCTGTCTGTATAAAAGATTGTATCGGAGTCGAGCAAAAAAATTAATGGGCCGGGGAAAAAATTGAGTTGGATTATTGTAGAATTATGATATTTGATTGAAGAGATTATCTATAAAGTGTAGTATTTTTAACTACTCCTCAATATTATAAATGGTTGTTTATTTTGGTGTTTAACTATATAAATTTCGGGTTAGTCCTTGTATTCAAAGACCGGGCCGGGTACAAATTTGGCTGGGCCTAGACAAAACCCAAATAGCGATTTGCAGACCTCTACTCTATAGCAGGAACCCGGAGTGAAGCGTAACGAACCGTTAAACTATTATAAACCGTTATAAATATTCGAACCGTAACCGAACCGATATAATTATTTTATGAAAGAGTAAAAAGAACCCTTATAAAAAAGGTTAAACCGGTTGAGTTTTAATATATTAGTAATTGGAAAAAATTGAATATCCAGAATTATATAAACGCTCTTATAGTACTGGGGGTTCCCGCAACACAAGTTTCTGAAAGGGCATTTTCGGGGCTAAAATTTTAAGTTATCGTTACAACAAACAAATATAAATCCATTTATATTAGAAAATATATTACTTATGCGTTCAAATAATATATTTAAATTTGAGTTATTTTGAATCTTACATATTTTTTATATATAATTCATATATCATATGCTTATAATAAAAATAAATTAGACGATGGTGTTGCTTCAATAAAGAAAATTTCCAACCGTAATGAAGAATTATAAATAAAATTAGCTGAACTGAACCTTTATAAATTTTTTGTTAAGAACCGTAACCATTATATTTTTTTACATACCGAACCGTAACCAAATTGAACCGTTATAAATAACGGTTCGGGGCCCTGATCTAAAGATTTCGCGTTTAAGTTAGACAATTCTTAAAATACAAAAATTTGCATATTATTATTTATTTTCAATTAATAATATCAAAATCTCCAGGGTTATTAAATATTATTTTGGGCTAAAATCGTAATCAGGCAGTTTTTAAAAATCGACCCAAATCGTGCTTTTTATCACCACTAGTTATAAGGCTTAACATAGATCCCATGAATGGAAATGCAGTTATGCAGTTGAATTCGATCAAATGATATTTTTGTCTATGATATAGGTTATCCTTTAGGGCCCTATGGTGAAGTTTCCTAGTATTTTTAAAGGTGGCTGATTCTCCTAGGCTCATAAAGGTGGTTGTGTATTTGTTGCACTTTGATGTATCGGCGGCAGTGATTGATTGAAATATAGTTATCATTCATTTGGTAAATAAATAATAAATTTAAATACAAATAATATTAGTATTTATTATATAAGTTCAGTGAAAATTTGATTATATATACATATTAAGTCCTAATCAGATTTCCTTACCATCCTCTCTGGATTATTTATAATATTTTATTATCATTTTCAAATAAGTAGTTTATTCAAACCATTTTTACTTCTTCTATATATTTTTTCTTCAAGTAAAAATTTGCTCATAATTTATTAGATATTATATATATATGAGTTGAAAAATATAAAAATTAGTTTATATTTTGCTGATATATTATGGTCAATAAATTATCAAGTATATTTTAAAGAATGTATTTATCGTATATTATATAATAAATGATATTCTTAATCATAACTATATTAAATAACAATAACTACCTACGGGTATAAAATTACTGCTAGGAGTTTAAACACAAATAAAATCTAATTTGGAAGGAATGTTTATTTATTGATTATATCAAAAAGTGGTTTCTGGACGGAATAAAAATATTAACATATATGTATATGTTATATTTCAATTTGCATTTGAAATAAATATATCATAAATTTGTTTAAAAATTCATTATAATTATTAATTTGAATCACTGACAACATTTATTTTGAAGAATAAACCTTGCCAAATCGCTATTGAAATTAAAACCCTTTAAAAATTAAAAATATCGAAGTGGATGATTATTTTGCACGCTAGTAAAATACAATCAAATGATCTTTTCTTCTAAATATTAGCATTCTAGCTAACAATTTCAAAAGAAATATAAATATAGACTTTTAGAATACTGTTGGTTGATAGTTCTTTCTTGATTAAATTTATTTTTTCAGATTTCCTTTTTTAATATTTTGATCAACTCAAAAAAAAATTAATAGTAAATTTCAACAGAGCTCTTACATTTTTTTTATTCCAAATTATATTATATATATCTGATATAAAATATACCATTATTTTTTTATTCTTCATTTTCTCCTATTTTTTCTGCGCGGAATATTATCATTTATACTCGAGAGACCTGGCACGTTGGATACAGGAGCACTTCAGTCCGCTCTTATTACAAGCTATTATTGCATTACAGTTATAAAATTGTATTTCATTTACTAATTTACTGCTTATTTTATCAATAATTAAAATTATAACTAGTCTCCAGAATTATATCAAATAAATTTTTTGGTGGACCAACTAATAATCACCTTTTAAAATATTGAGATAACCACTAAACCAATTAGTATAATGACCCACAAATGTCTTTTTATAGTAAGTTTCTAAAAAGTTATCGAATGGGATCATTGCAATATTTATAAATAATTCAAAAATTTCATAATCTCGTCCAAAATATTTATTTAAAAATCTATTTCACATTTAAAATATTTATGCTGATTCAAATTTATCCCAAAATCGCGGCTTCTTTTATATAGGGTAATTTTTAGTGTATTATAAAAAATTTTAACACCTTTTTAATATAAAATTCAATTTCACATTTTTTAAACGATATACCAAGCTATTAAATAAACTAGCCTTATTAATAATATAACATATCGCATCTAATTTTTAAATTATGTAAATGAAGCTTAGCTTTAAATGATGTTTTTTTTCTCACGATAATGTTTTAATATGTAATTGGATAATAACCATTTAGGAATGGGGGAGTATGTATGGTTATTTTTTCACATTTTCTCCAAGCGTCTTTAGGTAGTGTTGCTAAAAAGCCCGATTCGGGTCTATTTTTAAATACGGCCCGATTAAGATTATAACATAATATTATGTAAATTTGGAGATTTTACTCAAAGATGGCAGCAAAATTTGGACATCTATTTAAAATTTCGAGGCTTAGATTATTTTATTTTGGCTAAAATCTTAAGGGCCATTTCTAAAAATCGATCCAAACCGTGCTTTTTAACAACACTCATACTTAAAATGAGCTTAAAAATAATTTTAAAAAACTTCTATGTACTCCGTTTCTAAGAAATGGGAGGGTGTATGCAAATTATTTAAACTAGATTAGAAACCATGTATGAGGGCTTTAAAAAATTCCTAACAATTTAACATGGGTTTTTAATTCTAATTATCCCTTCCCTGACATTACATTTTAATAAATGACTGCACAAATTAAAAATTTTGTCATATAATATTTATCTTACAAATTCTCATAAAGTTTAAAGTGTGTCACGTTCATTATAATAACTTTATTATACAATCACAACATGCATGTCACACTTTGTATTATATTTATTTATATTAAATATATTAAATTTCATAAAATGTCCTACTAAATAATAAATTACATATATCTATTGTAACAAAATTAAAAAAAAATGCCTTTTAGATAAATACAACATCATAATTTAGTCTATAAAAAACTGATGAAATGAGTTAATTTATAAACCGTTATTTTGTTATAAAATTAATATAAATATATTCATAAATTATTTACTAAAAGTAAGATCCTTCATTATAAATTCGTATAATATTGAAGAAAGAATTTTTTGATATAAAACTTTAAACTAGATATTGCAATTTTTCATGGGTTGTCATTTTGTCAAAAAAAAAATAAAACGTGAATTTTTTTAAAAAATGAATAATTTATATGAAATGTTTTACTATGAGCAATGTAATAATGATTTAGATTTGGCTATAAAGCAGGACTATTAATATCGTTTGAAAAGATCTAAAGGTAAACAATAAATGGTCCAGGAAGAACCTTCATCTTAGATGAAGTGTTCATCTGTTTGTTATTTCGTGAAAATGTTCTCTTTAGTCATATTAAATCGATAAAATAGCTATAATATTTTTCTCTTGTAACAAAGTATTTCGCTGGTGTGGCCACAACTGGTTTTCGTTCTTTTTTGCACTGGAAAGTAATCTAATTGTCATGTATGATAAATAATTAGAATAATTTTTTTAATAAATATATTTATTCATCTCTCCCCCCTTCTTTTTCTTAAAAATCAATATATAAAAAAAAGACAATAGATATCGACTAAACCTACGTAATATGACTGGCCTAATTCCAAAATTTCCATCCCTTTACGTGTTTAAATTTTAGCGTTTATTTGGCAAAGAAAAAATAAACAATAAATTTTTTCCCCCTTTTCCCATGGTCATAATTTCTCATTAATTTATATTTAACTAAATAAGCAAACAAAAATAGTTAAATAAAAATTCGGAATATAAATTTAAATAAAAATCAATTAAAATTTCGTGTTAATTAATTTTATAAACGTGTGGTATATTGTTTTAGTTTCAAATTACATTATATATTTTATTGTAATTAATGAGGTAAATGACCATATTAAAAAAATAATTTTAAAGCACTATTTTTTTAATTTATTATAATGAACTTTTAAAGAATAAAGGATTTTTAATTATAAAATAAATACAATAAAAAATTAAATTCGTTTCATCGTAATTTTTTTTTGAAAAAAAAACCTATAATTTTGGATTGATATATCGTGGGAGTCAGGTCAACTTTTGAGCAAATTTTGCAATCGATATTTAAGCAGGGATTTTGAACTATATCGAGGAGAGAATTAGACGAAATTTCTTTCGATATATTTTGGGTAGAGTGAATATTTTCTAAAGTTTTGGATGCGACTAATACTGGTATTTTAGGAAAAGAAATGTGACGTTGTTGCGAATGCTCAGCAACCGTATAAGCATTCAATGATTGTGATTCTTTAAACCTAGTAATGACATCATGTGAATTGTGATCTTTAATATTAGACTTAAAGTTATTTGACTGTAAGCCAGAAAAACTTTGCCACTGATAAGGTCCGGGTAAAGGGTTTTCAGCGACAAAATCGAAATTCCACTTGGAAGCTTGATTAGCATGTAGTTTACGAAATTTAACGAATATTTCTGATTTAAAATCCGAATTGCTAGCACATTGCCCAAAGAGTCTTTTTTTGCATAAGGATTTTGCAGACGTATTCATCAGCGGAGAATTATTGAATGGCGAAGAATGAATTTTTAATCCGTTCATTTATAAATAATGCTATACGTTTGCTTTTATGATATTTATGCTAATAATAAATTATATTGTGTTTAATTGACCATGAAAATAGAAATTATATTTAATTTTTTATATTTTTGAATTTTAAAAAAATTAACGACATTTTGACAAAAACAGACGATAAATAAAACCGTTTATATTTGGATAACCGTTAATTTTCAAAATTTTTTTGGATAAAAAAAGATGTCCTTATTTTGTCTTAAAAAACAGGTTTTTGAATATATATTTTTTAAAAATAATATGACATGTTTTTAATTTTATTTTTATATTCATATTTTTATTTTTTAAACCTTTTTTAAAATTTGGAACATGTATTAGATAAAGAATATTACGGTGATTTATAAAGAATTTCCGTTCGTCAAAATAATTGATAAATTAGAAAATCGTAAATAATTACTATTTATATTTATAAATAAAACTTTTAGAAATACTAGCAAAACTTTTAAATTTTACAAATGGAGGGAAAACGTAAAACTTGATCAAAATGGTAGTATTTTTTTTATTGTTTTATTTCGTTTTTGTTTCTGGTTTCATATTTTTTAAATATTATGGTAATCGATAAAATGTGAACGTATTTATAAATGTCTGTTTTTAAAAATTTTTTTTTTTTTCTTTTAATTTTATTACACGTTTAGGTTTATTGTCGAAATCTTATGATAAACTGAAATAAAAAATTGAGGATTAAAATGTTAGATAAAATTAATTGTCATTTAACAATTTAATATTTATATTTAATTGTATTTGTTTATTTTTTAATTTTTTATTGCTACCATAGCTCTCTGTAGGGAAAACAATACTGTAATAGCAAAAAATTTTAAATTTTTGAATATTCTTTTAATGGGTTAGTGGTTAATTTTATATAATATATATTTAAATGGAATTATCGCTTCTTAAAAATGTATTTGATATGATAGATAAAAAAATTCACAGATACAATTTCGGTATAATTTTAATGTTTAATTATATTTGCTATAAACGTTTATGCACATTGAATAAGCTTTCTACTGATGCACCATAATATTTTGTAAATAATTTTGATATTCGAAAATTTTTTAAATTCTGATTGTAAGCGAAGATTGTCAAAATTTAGATCTACACTTAAATTAAAATTTTAATCATGTTGCGGCTTAACAAAAAATTAATGTTTTAGATAAAATCAGTACATAAAAAAGTTGATACTTATTTAACTAATCAACTCTTGTCTCTTGGTTTTGGATCCAACTAGCGTCCGGAGGATATGCTTCCAAATTGTTTGAAATGAGATAGGAGGTAGGCATCTATAAAATAATATGGATGGGTTAAATTTATTGTTTGTGTGGGGTGGGTCTCCAGTTTGTAGACTCTGGATTCAATTCTATTTACTCTTAAAATATGAAAAGAGCAAGTGATTTACGTGTTGATGGAAAAAAGGTATATTGCATCGATTGTAATTCTTCTTAAAATGTATAGAATTCATATAGTGTTTTTTAACATTGAAATTAATATTAGTAAAAGAAATTTTCTAGTTAATAAAAGCAAACTTTTGGAAAGCAATGTGAAAATTGTTTTAAAGAAAATAAATAAAAGAAAAAATTTTGCCAACAAAAATAACGATAAATATTTTTGGTGTAATTTTTTCATTCCCTTAAAAAATAAAAATACAATTATAAAATTGCTTATTATTCTAAAAAATAAGTAGAGAAAATTATATGAAAGTGTTGTGTAATTATTTTAAAAAGCGTTGTGGCAGTGAATGGAAAGAAATAAATTACAAGAACGATGATAATGACAACCTGGACCAATAATCTATAAATAAATTAAATGATGGCAAATAGATAGGATCTCGATCGAGAACGACTTTAACCTTTTTTCTTAAGACACACGATATCGACATACCACAAACAATGAAAAAATTACTAACATAAAAATTATATAAGAAAAAACAAAAATAAACAAACCGGATGTTAAGTACATTATTATTATAATTGTTGTAAATGTTAGATTTAATTTGCATAAAGAATCCTTTTGGATTTTGTTGTACTTTATATTTAATTTGCATAAAGAATTCTTTAGGATTTATTATTATAACGCGTGATAAAAATGTTATATTTGAATAGTTATGAATATTAGTTATAAGAAGATTGAAAAGAGTATAAAAAGGCCAATTTTTACCATTTGAAAGAATCTTTTTTTAATTATTAATTTTTTTGTATTTTATGTTTATTTTATTTTATTTTCTTTTTTTATGATTTTTACTATTATAATTTTGTTAATTTGATAATGTTATAATTTTGAATAAAGAATTAAAGTTGATTTTATGATTTCGTGATTCCTAATTATTATTAATTTCCTTTTTATATATATATTTGTTTTCTATTTTTATATTTAGGTTTTAATGCACAATGACAAATCGCACATTGTGACAATGGTGTTGGAGAGAGGAGACCGGCCCTTTACAACTTTCAGTCTAATGCAAATCACGCATTGTGACCGGTGGGACAACAAGGAGATGTGTCAAACTGTATTCTAATACAAAAAAAAAATTCCAGAAGAACGTAAGAAAAATATGTAAATAAAGGTGAAAAGGAAAAATTATGTTGTTAAGATTATGTTTATGTAGAATATAAAATCTAAAATTAAAAACAAAGAATTATATAGGTAACATTCATAGTAGATATAATATAAAGAAGTTTGTGTTTAGTTATTTAAAGGTGATAATTAGGAATTTTATATTTAGAAGTTACTGGTAAACTAAAACCATTTGAATTTTGAAACTAATAGAGACTATGATATTTTAGATTTTAGAATTATTATCAATTGATCACTAGAAATAACTTTGACAAAGAAATAGAAACATAAATTGCGAAAGTTAATATTTAACTAATAGGTTGCTGAGATATAATAATTAAAAAATTAGGTGAATAAGATTAGAATATAACTTTATTGTTAGGAAATAGTTGATTAAATTCTTATTGAAGATTTACGTTTAACTTTTATTTTAAGGGCTGCGAGAGATAAAACAGCCTCATTAATGTGAATGTAGTATATTAGGTTGTAGATTAACCAAAAATCTTCATAAAGAGAAACGGCTTTCGTCATTAGAAAATTTATGCCGCAATCGAGCTCAATTAGAGATCGGATTTTATTTTTTTTGAATCATAAATAAGATTTGAGATCAATTATGCTCTAATAATAACAGAAAGAAAAACATGCTTTAGAAATATACATATCAGTTTTCAACAACGGTTGTGCGAAAAATTATAATGATTAGAGTTCATAAGTTCTTCAAAGACGTCGGGTGAAAACCATAGTGATTAGAGTTAATAGGTTGTTATAAACGTTAGTATGAAAACTTTTATGATTAGATGTCATTGATTTCTCGACAACGTATGTATGAAAAGAGATTTATATATTTCATCAGTTTTTTTTTAAAGACTTGAGTGTCAAAGAGTACATGAGGAAATAAATACACAATGATAATTTTTTTAAAAGATAGATTTTTATATACATTTTAGAATAGGATTTTTAGATATAAATTTAGTATAGACATAGCTGAAAAGAAGATGAGGATCAATAGCTAAAGGATGAGTACAAGTAAATTTTTCAATGAAAATATGGGTCTAGGCTTCATTAAGGGGAGAGGGGTGATAGAATTTGATATATTTATATAATTTATAATTGATATTTTTGCTACGTTTTATAAATTTAAGATTTAGTATAATTTACGCCAGTTATTAAAGGCAGAATTAGATTAGAGGAGATAAATGTAGACATTAGGATGAAGTTGGTATATTTATATATTTTATTAGTATATTTATATTAGGTAGTTTATATTTGAAAATAAATATAAAAAAGTGATAAAATATTTCAGAAGTTATTTAAATAAATTATTTTAGGTAGAAGTAGATTAGAGGTGATTACCCGATATCTCAGCAAGGGCAAACTGTTGTAGAAGACCCGGAAGTCTAAAAAATAGATACGATTACAAGAATTAGAGGCAACAATCAATCGATTACAAGAGAAAGTAGAAAACAAGCGAAGTGATAAAAAGAGGATCAAGACGTTATGCTGCAATCGTTAATCGCGGACCAATAATAGCCAATTATTACCGAGACTTGAGTCTAAGATACGGAAATCGACAATCATAGGAACAAGAATTCGTGAAAACCATAGTTATCGCAGACCAATCAATTGTTTATCGAGATAAAGAGCTAATCGTGGATTACAAGAGAATGATAGAAAATAAGCTACGATGAAACTGGATGTCAACGATAATCGTTCTTCAAGCGTGGATCGTGGAAAACAGGCGTGTATCAAGTTCGTCAGTGGCCTACAGAGATAAAAAGCTGATCATTTCCCAGGGTGACAAGCGACAGAAGATAGAATCCAAAAATTTCAAGCGACAATCGGATACAAACGGTCGTTCGAAACTAAGAATACTAGACAAGAGTCAGCCTTCGTTAGAACTTAGAAGACAGCAAAGATTAAGAAGAATAAGTCGAGATCGAAAGAAGATTGATTATTCGCAGAATGTTGGGTCTAATTTAAGTAGGGAGGTGTTGTAAATGTTAGATTTAATTTACATAAAGAATTCTTTTGGATTTTGTTGTACTTTATATTTAATTTGCATAAAGAATTTTTGGATTTATTATTATAACGCTTGATAAAAATGTTATATTTGAATAGTTATGAATATTAGTTATAAGAAGATTGAAAAGAGTATAAAAAGGCCAATTTTTACACTTGAAAGAATCTTTTTTTAATTATTAACTTTTTTGTATTTTATGTTTATTTTCTTTTTTTATGATTTTTACTATTATAATTTTGTTAATTTGATAATCATATAATTTTGAATAAAGAATTAAAGTTGATTTTATGATTTCGTGATTCCTAATTATTATTAATTTCCTTTTTATATATATATTTGTTTTCTATTTTTATATTTAGGTTTTGATGCACAATGACAAATCGCTCATTGTGACAATAATATCACACATTTTCAACAAATACCACAATTCTAACGGCAACGGAACTAATAAATAACCATAAATATTCTAGCAGGCATAGTAGCACCGTTCACTATAATAAAACGGGTAGACATCATGCATGTGATCTATATATTAAATATATTTGATGCACGCTTCAACTTCAATGGGTGGTAAAATTGCATTACACGCTATTTCTAGCTTGTTTGAATTAATGAAATTTAAAAAAATGATTATTTTGTAAATAATAAAAGATAATATTTTCTTGATAAGCCATTTTTTTTTCCTGGACTCATGAAAAATACTTTTGTAAAACTTGCCTGAGAAACATAAATAGCATTTATAGAATTGTTAGAGTATTTATTATTTTTATCAATGATCTCTGTTAGTAGGTCATAAACTTTTTAAAAAAGTTCTTATGAATTATATTTTTATCAATGTATAACAAGGAAACGCTAAATTACTCATATGAGCTTATATCGCAGGTGTCATCATCTATTACAGTATATATGCTTCTATTATTTGTGCAGCTATATAATTAAGATGGTTTCCCTTGATGTTTAGAGCATATAATTTTGTGATTTCGATGAGCAATAATGTGCTTTATCTGATAGTTTGTATGCCATTAAAAATGGCTCATATTCCTTCAAGCAATATATTGTTCATTTCGCTTTCATCATGCCCTCTTAAAGAAAGCTATCTTAACACATAATATTGGAATTAATATTTTCGAACCAAGTCTCTAGGTTGCTTTGCAAAACTTTACTTTGAATTATATAAAAGGTCTATCTTTCCATCATTCTATAAAAAAAAAGTAAGATTATGGTTTATGAGACACAATTACCATTGGCTAACTTATATTTATTTATCTTTCATATGATTGGTTGAAATTTTCTTGTTGAATGATGATTATTATCGAAAACCATTGGTTCCTAATTTTTATACAATTTTTTTTTAAATTTCGGTTTTCTATTATAGGGACATGTGCGCCGCCGGTCAAATTAGCCGCCGCCGGTGATTTTGACCACGCTGACGCCGCGCGCCAAAAAATTGTCAGCGCTCAACACGCCGCCGCCGATGTAAAAATTCGGCGGCGTGGCGGCGTGATACATTTTTTTTATTATTAATTTATATATATTATTTATGAATTGTAATTAGAAGAAAAATATTAAATATTTTTGGAATTATTAAAAAATGCGATTTTATTTTTTAAAATTAATAAATATTATTTGCTATAAATTTGATTTGTAACAATCCATATTCGCACAATTTGGGCAGGTTTGTGACCAACATGATAGAAAAAATAAGATTAGGACATTAAATTTGAAAAGGTAATTCTATATTTTATTCTTTTATTTTGATGTTTCAAAAAATTTAACACTCGTTATATAAAATTTATTTTTTATCATAATAGGAAATTTTAATTAATAATTTTTATTTTGTTGCCATTATAACATCTATAAAAATACCAGGACTAAAACAATTATGATGGATGCAGCATTGCAATACCCTGTAACAAAATATAATGTATCCTTGCAAGCAAAGCCTTCTTTTGCAGGGAAACATTTTGGATCCTTTATAAAAAACTGAAACAAATAATAAGAGAACCAGTGTTGCTACAGATAAAGTCTTTTGTAATATATGCTTGCAAATAGCACTTGATAAAGATGGTGAGGATGAAAATAATTATTCATTTTTAGAGTAAATTTTTTGATTATTTTAAAAATATTTGTAAATTTTTTAATTAGTTATCCAATCAAATCTTTTTCAAAAAATATCAGCACATCAAATATAATAAAACATTTACTTGACAAACATGATTTATCATGTAAAGAAGAAATATCTAAACAAAATTTAAAGTTATTTTTCAAACCCATTGTAAAAGATACAACTGACACTATAAAAGATACAACTGACACTATAAAAGATAAAAAAATGGATTCTGGTAAGGTATGTTCTCATGTGTTGCAAGGATTTAATGCCATTCTCTTCTATAAATAATACTGGAATGCAAGATTTTCTAAAGGTTATTTATAAAATCATTATAATTTTTTATAGGGCAATCTTAATTTAAATTTTGACTGTTAAGATATTTAATTATTTTATAACATCCCACATTTATAATTTTTTATGGCATAATATTTTTATTATTAACTTTTTATTATGTAGAAATATGGCATTATTTCAGAAACCAAAGAATTACCAGATAGAACTACACTTAGCCGGAGTGGATTAGATGATGTGTATTTATCAATGAAAGCATACATATGCAAACAAATTAATATAGGTCCTAAATTTTGTGCTATAACTTTTGATATGTGGACCGATAAATATAGACGGCGAAATTATATCACCTTTACATTTCACAAAATAGGTAATAATTTTAATATTGTATTTTATATATTGGCGACACATCATGTCACTCAAAAACATACCGCTGAAACTATTCTTTCCGAAATAGAAAAGGTTGAAAATGAATTTGATTTAGGGTCCAAGATATTCTAATGGTTATGGATGCAGGACCCAATGTAAGGAAAGGTGTTCGTCTAGGAGAATATGACCATCATTTATGTTTCGGGCATGGATTACATAATCTAGTGACAGTCGATGGAATAAAAAAAGTTAATAAAATAGAAAATCTCATTAAAAAAGTGAGAGAAATTATAGTTGCCTTAAGATTCAAAACAGCGGATTTTGAAATATAAACGATATAGAAAATAGAAAATGTTTTGAATCGATATCATATACATCGGATATTTTAGATTTGGATGATAATGATCCTTTTTATGAAGATCGTTTGGGGTTTGATGATGATAGTGAAAATCAAAAATCATATGAGAAAAAACATAAAACCTTAAAATTAAATGTGCCTACACCTTATTTTAATAATACTGGAAAGTGTGACTGGCAATAACAAAAATCCTATAAATATTCTATTAAATAGAATAGAGAAACCGGATCTCAAATTATTTAATCCGATTGGGACTTGGTGCATGAACTTTTAAATTTTTCTTAAAACCTTCAAAAAAACTGTTGAATTTTTATCTGTCCAAAAAGGAGTTACTATAAATTTAGCCTTATTATTTCGTAGTGAAATTAAAAATTATTTAATTGTAAAAGAATATGATAGTACACCAATAGCATTTCTTAAACAAAATATGCTTACTAAATTTGATCATAGATTTCCAATAACCGATCTTCAGGTAGTATTTTAAAATGCATAAATTATTTTATATATTATTTCTCTTTCATTTATTTTTTTACTTAGGTGTTAGGTGCACTTTTAGATCCTCGTTTTCAATCAAAAAACATAGTAAATGAATATTTAAATGAAAAAAATATTACTCCGGTTGAATTTTTATGTCAACACGCTACCTCTCTACAGCCTTACACGGACGAATTAAACGAATAAACGACAGAAGTTGCCTCAAAACTCGATTATCTTAAGTCATTGGCTACGAAACATTCATCTATTCAAATCAATAGCCTGGAACAACAACACTATTTAACTAGTTTAGAAAAAGAGTGTTATTCATTATTTTCTTATAATTTGGAGATAAAAGATGTCTTAGATTTTTGGAAGATAAGAGCATTGGATCTTCCTAAACTTTCAATATTAGCTAGAATGATTTTGTGCGTTAGCACACCCAGCGAGCGTGCTGGGCTCACTCTGAACTCTAAAATATCATTATTATAAATCTTAATAAAATAATATTTATCCATGATAATTATAACTTAATAAAATGATTAAATTATAGTTATAAACATAATAAAGTATAAATTTATTTTAAAAGTGTTTCCAATGAATTTATAAATTTAATTAAAAAAATTTAAGTTAGAAAAATATTTGACGCCGCCGCCGATTTTTGTGGCGGCGTCTAAATCGATTCGCCGCCGCCAGCCGATCATTTTAAAAAAAGAAGTGCCGCCGCCGAAAATGCTGTCGGCGCACATGTCTAATCATAGGGCTTTTATAATAAGCTGTTTTTTACAATTCAAAATTTTATGTCATATTAAAGAACTTTATAGAAATTATGAATTTAGCTTAAATATTCTTTGAGGTATTTAAAATAAAATGAATTGTATTTTCAAATTTTAGCCTTTATAAAGATAGGCATAGATCAAATAGTCGATTTGAAAAGTTATATTATAAATTTATTGGTTAGTATATATGCTACCAACATACAAGTTTTTAAAAATTCAAAGGGTCGGGTTAAGAATCGAGTTTTATCGTTGATTTAATATGAAATAAAACATATGTTAATATCATCAATATAATCATATAAAAAAATATACATTACAGAGTTTGATAGAAACCATGTCGTCAGCCATCATTATCAAAATCATTATGATTATCATTATTAAATATGGAAATAAATAAGTATATGTTTATTAAATTTTTATTAATTTTTTCATAATTTAGATATATACCTTTATTGGTAATAAGCAATCCAAAAATTATTCAAAATAAATAATGACTGTATTGATTAAGAAATATGTTAAATTTCTAAAGCGCAATTGCATCATATTAATATCATACAATCCCACACTCTCCCCTGTGTTAAGATTGGATAAGGAAAGCTTAAATCAGAATGTTATTGACTTTTAATTTTTATAAAAATATTAAATCTCGTCGTATTTTATCTTTATAAAAAAATTGTTGTTTTAATGTAGCGTATGGGGCCCAGTCGATTAGTGCAAGTATCACTTCTCATATCTTATGTGCTACCTACGAGATATCATATTATTAAAAGGTAATAAGAACTATTTTTAAAAAATTAAAGAGGAATTGAACGGTCGCTTTGATATTCTATATATCATACACCTTACAGAACGAACTATCTATTTGGTTTCAAAAAATATCTGATACTTGGTGCGATACTAAATAACAATTTTGGGGCCCCCATTGTTATAAATGCTAACCTCGCTTACAGGCTTGTTAATCGATTCGAAATATTTTTTTTTGGATTCCTTATTTCCAAAATAATTATAGTACAGTTGATAATCTCTTACCATCATTCATATAAAATTTCTTAAAAACTATATTAACTTAAATATTTAAGATTAGACTCTTTTTGATCATTTAGAAACTAAACTTAATCGCTTCGACTAAATTACTATCGGCAATATAAATAAATCGCATCGTGATCATTTAAAAAATAAAGAAGCAATATTGCAATACTTTTTATTATAATATACTATATCATACTAAGAGTAACATTTATAAACCCTAATTCTCAAAGATATTAGAACCTATTTTAGATTTTAAAGATAATTATATCATTGATTGATATATTACATTACTATGAAATTACGATTATTTGTAAGATAATTCTAGAATATTATACATTATCTGTTGATTGTTGTAATACGTTAATTTGGAATCTATTAAATAATCATTAATTTATTATTAAAATTGTTTATAAAAATGAAATTTAATCTTTTTTCATGCTGTAAGGGAATTGATGACGAAAATTTTCCTAAGAGAGTTAAAGGTTGAAATAGCAAAATAAATTAACATAACAGAGTTTATTTATTAGAACCAAATGGAAATAAATGGCCAAAATTTAAAAGATGGATAATAAATAAATTTAGTAATAACCGAACGAAAGATGAGCGTAAATATTTTCCAGGTTTTATAATTATACCAATTTTACGAATGTTTATATTTCATTTATGTATTAAAACTATTGAAATCGATAAAATGAATATTTATTTTTATCTATCAATATAGGGTCGGGAATGAATCAAACCAAAGTATAAATTTTTTTTATTAGTCATATGGTGATTAGGCCTATTCAAAAACGAATACGATTCGAACAATGAATTATATCATATTCGATTTTTTTAAACAAATCGAATTATTCAAAAATATATCAATCAAATATAGATAGTAATCTTTATCATTTTTATAAATACGAATGCAAAATTTTTCGATTTCATTAAAAGAATCTAATAAGAATAATATAAAGAATATAGCAATAATTTTTTTTATAGATTATATTTTAAGATAAAATTTGTATTGTGAAGGCGATTTCACCTAAATGAACCTGGGTTAGGGCCAATAATATAATAGCTCTTGCCATTTATTTTGGTTGTTGTAGCCGAATAAGCTTTACATTTTATATATAAATGCATAAATATTTTCATGCTTTTTCATCTTAAGGCTATACCTAGTAGAAAATGCGAGATATCGGATTTCAATATCTTTACTTTGGTGAAGGAAGGAAAGTTTAACCGCGAATATTTGGCTAGTTGTGATGGCGATAAGCAACCGCAAATTTACAGGATGAAATTTATACCTAAACAAGTTAGATATGGTTCAGAGGTTTATATATTATTTAGGAAATAAATGAATCTTAACAATCTCTAATAAATCTAATTAAAAATGTTACTCTCAAAATTTCAATTTTATTTTTAGACCATTGATTCAATTCGTAAATTTAAGACCGAAAAAATGGTCTTAGAAATGGCGACTAGTTATTCATTTTTGATGGGATTGCATGCATCATATAGCCTTCCCTTCGGGTATTTAATACTTTTAGAAGATTATTTTGCTTTAAGAATCGAGGCTATATTTACTTTTTGTGAGTAATAATGTATTAAGATATAGATGTCCTACAAAAAACTTATGTCAGTTGTTTGAGAACATAATTATATTTAAGTCAGCTGTAGTCAATATGCTTTGTGTTATTACGATACAGTTTAATTTTTTTTTATGTATATGGAATTAATTATAAATAATTCCTTATATTTCAAGATACATATTAGTAACAAAGGACATTGGTCGAAGGAATTTATCTGATTATATTGAAGGAAAGTCTATCTTAAATGGTCGTATAGCTTTTTATGCGGCCGAGATTATTCTAGCAATAAACTTTTTACATAGAAACGGTTATTTCAATTATTTGTGTTAATTAAGCAATTTTCCCATTTTTGTCAAACAAATAATTTTATATTTATTTTTAATTTATAGATATTGTACACAGGGGCATATGCCCTAAGAATATCTTACTAGATAACGGTCACATTAAATTATCTAATTTTGCAACATGCAAGGTAATTTCCCCAATAAAGCAAAAATATAATTTAGTTTAAAAATAAATTTATCGCTAAATTGTTTCTTTATTTAAGTAAATATTACTAATACAATAGTTAAAAATAAAATAATGTTTTAAAAAAAACTTAAAAATATATTATATTTAACAAGCCATTTTTTTAATTACAAATTAGAAACTAGGGAAAGGTAAAAGAACAAAATCAATATGTGGAACTCCCCTATATCGTGCACCAGAAATGATAGGATCTCGAAATTATGGTAAAATTATTTCTCGTTTTTTAGATATTAAATCAAAATTTTTATGAACCACGTTACAATTTTCTAATTTTCTCGAGCTCCAATTATAATAATAAAAAAATTAAATTACCGCCATATATAAAATATTATTATAATTATTTTAACTTAGTCAACTTTTAATCGTTTTTTAAATATGAGACATCTTTTATGCTTAAAATATGAATTAGATTTGTGGCATCTTTGGAAAGTGTGATACCAAAATAGGATGAATTAGTTAAGTTAAAATTGTAAACGATAACGGTAGAAGATATTTTTACCAAAAATCAAGCCATTTTATACATCTTCATTGAACTAAATACTATCACCTGATTTAGCATTACAGAGCATTCATAAAATTGTTATAAAATAATATTATAGTTACGGTGTTAATATTTTATCCACGCATCCCTTACACTAGTCAGATTAACTTTCGTAAATAGTGTACCCATGATGGTAAAAACTTGCTTCCATTATCTGGGAAGCTATGCAATTTAAGAACTTTTTCTCTTTAGCTGAGCATTTGATTTTATGATTTAGATGCTTAAAATGTGCAGTGGATTTAGATTGCATTAAAAATGTATAATATTTTTAGAAAATTAAATTTTATTAAAATATGTTGATTCAGGTGGCTATTCTAATTTTTCAGAGAGCTCGAGGCCTTATGCACTCCACCTACTCCCCTCAATTCCCTAGTGGTCCTACTGAATTTATTTTATTACAAAAATATCTGAATTAGGAGATAAATAGATAAATTTTTTTATTCAAAGATTTTAGTGTAGATTGGTGGTCCTTTGGTATTATTTTATACCAAATGATTGTTCGTAGGAATCCCTACATAGAGGTGATCGATGCTAATATAGATTCAAAATACCTAATCAATCGAGGTTCAAATATTTGCATCTTAAAATGTTTAATATATTATTTTAATACGATCATGCATTAAAGATTAATATTTTCTCAAATTATTATTAATATGTTATACACTATTTCTAGCTATTTTAAATGAAGCCCAATCCCACTTCATCTTTCGAGTGCTACTTCAACGATCTTGTCAGGATTTCTAAAAAAGGTTTGATAAAATTTTATATAAAGTAAATTTATTAATAATTTTCAGAATCCACGTGAACTACTTGGTTGCGATCCAGGTAATTATCCATGGGACATTATGTTCCACAGCTATTTTAAGGATATAAATTGGGAAATGGTAATTTTTTAAAAAATATTAATATTTTATTAAAATTATAATTTTGTCAAAAATATAATTATATTTAATTTATTTCTTTATCATTCAAGCTCGAACAAAGGAAAATAAAGCCACCTCGCAAACGAAAGCGAAAATGAAAAAATAAAGAATTATTTTTATTTCCTTTCTTCACTTTGCTACTTTTATCATTTTTGGATTCTTATTTTACGATTTTTTCTTTTATTTCTTCACTTTGCTACTTTTATCATTTTTGGATTCTTATTTTAGGATTTTTTCTTTTATTTCTTCACTTTGCTACTTTTATCATTTTTGGATTCTTATTTTCTTTTATTTCTTCACTTTGCAACTTTTATCATTTTTAGTTTCTTATTTTAAAATTTTTTCTTTTATTTCTTCACTTTGCTACTTTTATCATTTTTGGATTCTTATTTTAGGATTTTTTCTTTTATTTCTTCACTTTTTTATCATTTTGGAATCTCATTTTAGGATTTTTTCTTTTATTTCTTCACTTTGCTACTTTAATCATTTTTGGATTCTTGTTTTAGGATTTTTTCTTTTATTTCTTCACTTTGCTACTTTTATCATTTTTGGATTCTTGTTTTAGGATTTTTTCTTTTATTTCTTCACTTGGCTACTTTTATCATTTTTGGATTCTTATTTTAGGATTTTCTCTTTTAATTCTTCACTTTGCTACTTTTATCATATTTGGATTCTTGTTTTAGGATTTTTTCTTTTATTTCTTCACTTTGCTACTTTTAATCATTTTTGGATTCTTATTTTAGGACTTTTTCTTTTATTTCTTCACTTTGCTACTTTTATCATTTTTGGATTCTTGTTTTAGGATTTTTTCTTTATTTCTTCACTTTGCTACTTTTATCATTTTTGGATTATTATTTTAGGATTTTTTCTTTTATTTCTTCACTTTGCTACTTTTATCATTTTTATAATCTTATTTTAGGATTTTTTCTTTTATTTCTTCACTTTGCTACTTTTATCATTTTTGGTTTCTTATTTTAGCATTTTTTCTTTTATTTCTTCACTTTGTTACTTTTATCATTTTTGGTTTCTTATTTTAGGATTTTTTCTTTTATTTTTTCACGTTGCTTTCTTTATCATTTTAGGATTCTTATCCTAGGATTTTTTCTTTTATTTCTTCACTTTGTTATTTTTATCGGATTCTTATTTTAGGATTTTTTCTTTTATTTCTTCACTTTGCTATTTTTATCATTTTAGGATTCTTATTTTAAGATTTTTTCTTTTATTTCTTCACTTTGCTATTTTTATCATTTTAGGATTTTTTCTTATATTTCTTCACTTTGCTACTTTTATCATTTTTGGATTCTTATCTAAGGATTTTTTCTTTTATTTCTACACTTTGCTTTCTTTATCCTTTTAGGATTCTTATCTTAGGATTTTCTTTTATTCTTCACTTTGCTATTTTTATCATCTTAGGATTCTTATTTTAGAATTTTTTCTTTTATTTCTTCACTTTGCTATTTTTATCATTTTAGGATTCTTGTTTTAGGATTTTTTCTTTTTTTCTTCACTTTGCTATTTTTATCATTTTAGGATTCTTATTTTAGGATTTTTTCTTTTATTTCTTCACTTCGCTATTTTTATCATTTTAGGATTCTTATTTTAAGATTTTTTCTTTATTTCTTCACTTTGCTACTTTTATCATTTTAGGATTTTTCTTTTATTTCTTCACTTTGCTACTTTTATCATTTTTGGATTCTTATCTAAGGATTTTTTCTTTTATTTCTTCACTTTGCTTCCTTTATCATTTTAGGATTCTTATCTCACTTTACTATTTTTATCATTTTAGGATTCTTATTTTAGGATTTTTTCTTTTTTTCTTCACTTTGCTATTTATATCATTTTAGGATTCTTATTTTAGGATTTTTTCTTTTATTTCTTCACTTTGCTACTTTTATCATTTTAGGATTTTTTCTTTTTTCTTCACTTTGCTATTTTTATCATTTTTGGTTTCTTATTTTAGGATATTTTCTTTTATTTCTTCACTTTGCTACTATTATCATTTTTGGATTCTTATCTTAAAATTTTTTCTTGTATTTCTTCACTTTGCTATTTTTATCATTTTTTCTTTTATTTCTTCACTTTGCTACTTTTAGCATATTAGGATTTTTTCTTTTATTTCTTCACTTTGCTACTTTTATCATTTTTGGATCCTTATCATAGGATTTTTTCTTTTATTTCTTCACTTTACTTTCTTTATCATTTTAGTATTCTTATCTTAAGATTTTTTCTTTTATTTCTTCACTTTATTTTTAGGATTCTTATCTTAGGATTTATTCTTTTATTTCTTCACTTTGCTACTTTTATCATTTTTGGTTTCTCATTTTAGGATTTTTTCTTTTATTTCTTTCACTTTGCTACTTTTATCATTTTTGGTTTCTTATTTTAGGATATTTTCTTTTATTTCTTCACGTTGCTACTTTTATCATTTTTGGATTCTTATTTTAGGATTTTTTCTTTTATTTCTTCACTTTGCTACTTTTATCATTTTTGGATTCTTATTTTCTTTTATTTCTTCACTTTGCAACTTTTATCATTTTTAGTTTCTTATTTTAAAATTTTTTCTTTTATTTCTTCACTTTGCTACTTTTATCATTTTTGGATTCTTATTTTAGGATTTTTTCTTTTATTTCTTCACTTTTTTATCATTTTGGATTCTTTAGGATTTTTTCTTTTATTTCTTCACTTTGCTACTTTAATCATTTTTGGATTCTTGTTTTAGGATTTTTTCTTTTATTTCTTCACTTTGCTACTTTTATCATTTTTGGATTCTTGTTTTAGGATTTTTTCTTTTATTTCTTCACTTGGCTACTTTTATCATTTTTGGATTCTTATTTTAGGATTTTCTCTTTAATTCTTCACTTTGCTACTTTTATCATATTTGGATTCTTGTTTTAGGATTTTTTCTTTTATTTCTTCACTTTGCTACTTTTAATCATTTTTGGATTCTTATTTTAGGACTTTTTCTTTTATTTCTTCACTTTGCTACTTTTATCATTTTAGGATTCTTATTTTAAGATTTTTTCTTTTATTTCTTCACTTTGCTACTTTTATCATTTTAGGATTTTTCTTTTATTTCTTCACTTTGCTACTTTTATCATTTTTGGATTCTTATCTAAGGATTTTTTCTTTTATTTCTTCACTTTGCTTCCTTTATCATTTTAGGATTCTTATCTCACTTTACTATTTTTATCATTTTAGGATTCTTATTTTAGGATTTTTTCTTTTATTTCTTCACTTTGCTACTTTATATCATTTTAGGATTCTTATTTTAGGATTTTTTCTTTTATTTCTTCACTTTGCTACTTTTATCATTTTAGGATTTTTTCTTTTTTCTTCACTTTGCTATTTTTATCATTTTTGGTTTCTTATTTTAGGATATTTTCTTTTATTTCTTCACTTTGCTACTATTATCATTTTTGGATTCTTATCTTAAAATTTTTTCTTGTATTTCTTCACTTTGCTATTTTTATCATTTTTTCTTTTATTTCTTCACTTTGCTACTTTTAGCATATTAGGATTTTTTCTTTTATTTCTTCACTTTGCTACTTTTATCATTTTTGGATCCTTATCATAGGATTTTTTCTTTTATTTCTTCACTTTACTTTCTTTATCATTTTAGTATTCTTATCTTAAGATTTTTTCTTTTATTTCTTCACTTCATTTTTAGGATTCTTATCTTAGGATTTATTCTTTTATTTCTTCACTTTGCTACTTTTATCATTTTTGGTTTCTCATTTTAGGATTTTTTCTTTTATTTCTTTCACTTTGCTACTTTTATCATTTTTGGTTTCTTATTTTAGGATATTTTCTTTTATTTCTTCACGTTGCTACTTTTATCATTTTTGGATTCTTATTTTAGGATTTTTTCTTTTATTTCTTCACTTTGCTACTTTTATCATTTTTGGATTCTTATTTTCTTTTATTTCTTCACTTTGCAACTTTTATCATTTTTAGTTTCTTATTTTAAAATTTTTTCTTTTATTTCTTCACTTTGCTACTTTTATCATTTTTGGATTCTTATTTTAGGATTTTTTCTTTTATTTCTTCACTTTTTTATCATTTTGGATTCTTTAGGATTTTTTCTTTTATTTCTTCACTTTGCTACTTTAATCATTTTTGGATTCTTGTTTTAGGATTTTTTCTTTTATTTCTTCACTTTGCTACTTTTATCATTTTTGGATTCTTGTTTTAGGATTTTTTCTTTTATTTCTTCACTTGGCTACTTTTATCATTTTTGGATTCTTATTTTAGGATTTTCTCTTTAATTTCTTCACTTTGCTACTTTTATCATATTTGGATTCTTGTTTTAGGATTTTTTCTTTTATTTCTTCACTTTGCTACTTTTAATCATTTTTGGATTCTTATTTTAGGACTTTTTCTTTTATTTCTTCACTTTGCTACTTTTATCATTTTTGGATTCTTGTTTTAGGATTTTTTCTTTTATTTCTTCACTTTGCTACTTTTATCATTTTTGGATTATTATTTTAGGATTTTTTCTTTTATTTCTTCACTTTGCTACTTTTATCATTTTTATAATCTTATTTTAGGATTTTTTCTTTTATTTCTTCACTTTGCTACTTTTATCATTTTTGGTTTCTTATTTTAGCATTTTTTCTTTTATTTCTTCACTTTGTTACTTTTATCATTTTTGGTTTCTTATTTTAGGATTTTTTCTTTTATTTTTTCACGTTGCTTTCTTTATCATTTTAGGATTCTTATCCTAGGATTTTTTCTTTTATTTCTTCACTTTGTTATTTTTATCGGATTCTTATTTTAGGATTTTTTCTTTTATTTCTTCACTTTGCTATTTTTATCATTTTAGGATTCTTATTTTAAGATTTTTTCTTTTATTTCTTCACTTTGCTATTTTTATCATTTTAGGATTTTTTCTTATATTTCTTCACTTTGCTACTTTTATCATTTTTGGATTCTTATCTAAGGATTTTTTCTTTTATTTCTACACTTTGCTTTCTTTATCCTTTTAGGATTCTTATCTTAGGATTTTTTCTTTTTGCTATTTTTATCATCTTAGGATTCTTATTTTAGAATTTTTTCTTTTATTTCTTCACTTTGCTATTTTTATCATTTTAGGATTCTT